GGCGGCCCCTGGAGGCCAAAGGGGGAGCCGCAGCCTGAGCCACACTCTTGGGCCTGAGAGCCCCCGGCTTCCCATAGGCTCTGGCCTTTCCCCTACACACAAATCCTCCATGGCTCTGACGGTCCCTGTCAGTAAGAGCAGGAGCTCTGGGTGAACTCTTGCTGGGTCACCACGGAGACGCCTAAGCACAAAATCCAGCCTCTTGTATCAGACCCAGGCTGGAACCAGGGATGGGGAGGGACCAAATGAGGGGAGGAGCCAGAGTCAGGGTCTGAATGCGGGTGACACACCGAGGTTCCAGGGAGGGGGTGGTTCAGATGAGGGGTGGGGTCCAGCTGGACTGAGAACAAGTGCTGCCCGGTCTCCCAATTCTACCCTGCCCCAGGAGACACTGCGAAATTAAACTAGGAGCTTCGGGGGGCCTTTGACGAATGACCAACGTGGGGTGAGTGGGATGGCAGATCTCCCCTCCACACAGACCACAGCTCTCCTCACCTCTCAACCCTCCCCAGGACTCGCTTTGGTCCGGAAAATCCCCATCGGCCAGGACCAGAGGGAGTTCCCTGGCGGTCCAGTGGTTAGGACTCCGCGCTTTCACTGCCAAGAGCATGGGTTCAGTATCTGGTCGGGGAACTAAGATCCCGCAAGCCGCGAGGCCAAAGAGAAAAAAAAAAACAAAAAACTTGAGGACCAGAGATGGGTAGATCCTCCCTGGGGACATACAGCCCAGTCCCCGTCCTGTCCCCGGTGGCTGGGCGGCGATTGGGTGGGGTGTGTGGGTGATGGGCCCAGAGCGAGATTAACCGGAGCCACGCCCACAGCTGCGGGGTTGCCCCATCACCTCTTTTTTTTTCTGGCCGCGCCACCATGCTTTCGGTATCTTAGTTCCCCAACCCGGGCCAGGGAATTCCCTTTTTTTTTTTTTTTTGGAGTTGCCCCATCCCTATTCCAGGGGAGAACGCGGTTCCAGGAGGAGAAACCAAAACGCCCTGGCTCCTGAGGTGCCCCCAGCCCCTGGACGCTGGCTGGCTGGCGAGGACGGGGCGGCTAGGGGGAGAAGAAAGCCGGGGAGGGGGCGGTAGTGAGTCAGGGACCCTGAGGGGTCAGGTCCTGGGGAGTGGGTCTGTGGGAGTCAGGCTGGGAGCAGAGGAGAGGGGTGGGGTTTGGGGGAGGGGTAGAACAGTTCGCCGGGCATAGAAGGGAAGAGAGGGTGCTCCGGCAGAGGGAACGGCCAGTGCAAAAGCCCTGGGGTGGGAACACGTTTATGGGAGGGGTAGCCAGGGGGCCAGTGAAGAGGGAAATGACGTCAAAGACACACCTTGTAGGGCCTGGAGGGGGAGAAAAAGGGAATTGGAGTCTGAGAGGGAAGGGAAACCAGTGCCTGGATCCACTTCCCGTTGTAAGATTGCTCCCTGGCGGCCCAGTGAAGAACAGGCAGGGAGACGGTGGGGTCCGTCCATCCTCAAATCTACCCTCTGGCCCTCACAGGCCTTCACAGAAATTGTGGCAGCCTGAGCTAGGCTGCCCTTGGCCAAACCACCGCCCTCCTGTCTTCCTGTGTCAGTGTCCCCCTCGGCCGAACGGAGACAAGGTAACCCCAGACTCTCCAAGAGCATGGACACCATGCTCGGTGCTTTGGGTCCTCAGTGCTCACGTGATTCCCACCAAGCCTACTGGGGCAGGAGCTACTTCTGTTTCCACTTCACAGCGGGGAAAACTGAGGCTCAGGGAAGGCAGCACATGCAGGGTCTCCTCACACCAGGGATACCTGTCAGGAGAGACTGGACCCCACCAGGGGCCAGCCCAGTCGGCCAGAACACAAGTTCAAGTTCTGCCTGTACATATCTCCCCAGTTCTTCAGTTGAGGGAGGCTAGCAAGAATAGCACTAATTTGTTCTTCAAACTTTCTCTTGCTGATGCTGGTGTCCATTGGCGATTCTTCTTCTTTTTATTTTTTTTCAGAGCAAAGTTTCACGCTGTGTGCCTTCACACACCAAAACTATCTCCACCAACATTAGGAAGTCTAACTCGTGCTGTGTATTTCCTCAAGGGCCTGGGCCTTTCCAGATGCAGATGGAAGGAGGCAGCACCACCAGACACCAGAGGGATCTGAGTTCGTTGGGGGGGGGGGGGGGGCGGTGTCGGTTTAATTAATTGTCCTTCTTTTTTGGGGGGCCACACTGCGTGTGGGATCTTAGCTCCCCAACCGGGGATCAAACCCGTGCCCCCTGCAGTGGAAGTGCCGAGTCTTAACCACTGGACTGCCGGGGAAGTCCTAATCATCCTTCTTAAACTTGCCATTGATGTAGGGCACCTGGTCCAGAATCAGCCACCACTCGGTGGCCCACACCAGTCCCATGGTGCCCACGGTGCCCCACATGCCCGCCATGGGAATCCAATTTCTGGCCAGCTCGCGACAGTGCGGGCCCAGGAACCTGCTCAGCATCCTGGGGCCCGCTGGTGATTCTTGCGTGAGTCAGTGCCATCATGGGCCAGTGGGAGACCCTTCAGTGCTGCTCCTGTGTCTGTGATTTACTCTAAAATTCAGGTCCTCTGGCTCTCTGACCTCAGGCTCCTACGCATTTGGATGTATGTTTTGAGACTGAAAGTGCTACTCCTCATGCCTGAAGAAGGTCCCTCATCACCTGGTTCTACAAGGACTGGCTCATTAGCCACTACAGTTGCTCACCTTCAACACACCTTGAAAGGAGTTCAGGGCGGAGATCAGGAATGAGGCTCTCAGTGCTCTGGGAAAACTGGCAGAACAGGTCTTCAGATAGGTAGGTATCTTCAGGAGGAAATTTTTTTTTTAATGACTTTATTTATTATTTATTTATTTTTGGTTGTGTTGGGTCTTCGTTGCTGCGCACCGGCTTTCTCTAGCTGTGGTGAGCAGGGGCTTCTCACTGCGGTGGCTTCTCTTGTTGCGGAGCACGGGCTCTAGGCGTGCGGGCTTCAGTAGTTGCGGCTCGCGGGCTCTAGAGGGCAGGCTCGGCAGCTGTGGGGCACGGGCTTAGTTGCTTCTCTGCATGTGGGATCTTCCCGGGCCAGGACTCGAACCCGTGCCCCCTGCATTGGCCGGCGGATTCTTAACCACTGCCAGCAGGGAAGTCCCAGGAGAAAATTTTTATGAACCAAATTTCTTGCATCTTCCCGTACTTAGAAAAGCACTAAAATCATTAACCGAGACATCTGCTCTTTGTGACTAGCAGCAACCTTCTACTGAGATGTGTGCTTGATTGCACGTCCCCTTTTCCAAAATCACATATGTGCTGACCTCCTTCACACCGCTTCGGAGCAGTTTCTCAGAGCTCTCTGAGAAGCTCTCTCCAGGGCTATAGTCCTCAGTATGGCCCCAAATAAAACTGAAACTCACAGCTCTCACGTTGTGCATTTTAATTTCATTCGACATTCTCTTTCCAATTTATCGCTATTCCAAAATAAGGAAACTAAGGATCTGACACCCCAGCAGCACCCTGTCTCAGCCAGCCCCGAGGGAGTGCTGTCGTGTGTAGGGCCCACACCCAGGCAGGGGCCGTTACCCCAGTCAGGATCACACATTCCAGGTATAGGGCCACCACTTGCAAAACTCTAACCTAAAGCCAGTCTTTTTTTTTTCTTTAATCACCAGTCAATCCTGGACACTTTGCTAATTAATTAGCATGATGAATATCACAACTGATTTTTCTCTGGTGGGAGGACTGGGGTTAAGATGTGTGGATCAGCTAAAAAAAAAAAAAAAAAGGTTCTGAAGAACCTGGGGGCAGGACAGGAATGAAGACGCAGACGTACAGAATGGACTTGAGGACATGGGGAGGGGGAATGGTAAGCTGGGACGAAGTGAGAGAGTGGCATGGACATATATACACTACCAAATGTAAAATAGATAGCTAGTGGGAAGCAGCCGCATAGCACAGGGAGATCAGCTTGGTGCTTTGTGACCACCTAGAGGGGTGGAATAGGGAGGGTGGGAGAGAGACACAAGAGGGAGGAGATATGGGGATATATGTATATGTATAACTGATTCACTTTGTTATAAAGCAGGAACTAACACACCATTGTAAAGCAATTATACTGCAATAAAGATGTTAAAAAAAACCCATTAAAACACTAAAAAAAAAAAAAGTGTGAATCAGGGAGAATATTAGCGGCTCTCCCCCTCCCAGACGTCTGGCCAGAGTTCCAGCCTTATCTGGGAGATGGTGAAAATGCAGACTCCCAGGCATGGCCCAGACCTGATGAACCAGAGCCTGCATTTAAACCCATCTCTGGCCTAAACCCCTCAGAGTAGCTCCCTTGACTCGAGACTGTGAATTGGTCTTGTGTCCAGCTGCTTGGAACCCTACCCAGGTTACAGTGGCTTTTGCCTCAGTGGCTCCGTGGAGCTCCAAGCAGATAGAGTGTGCCTTTCTGGGGCTCCTGACCAGGTGATGGAGATGTGATTTCATGGAACCTGGGGAAGGTGCCTACTCATCTCTCAGAGGCAGCCCAGGACACAGATCCTCAGTCTCTGCCTCCCACCAAACTGGCTCACAAAAGCGAGACAAATCTCTGAAAAGCTACACAAATGGTACGCAAAGGATATGCAAATCCCACACATCTTTAATTCAAATAAAGCAAGTTGTGCATATTATATGCAAGTAACAAACACATATGCAAATGTCATGAGAGGAAGGGTGCCCGGCTCAGGGGTGAGGGTTGTCAGACACATTTCAAGGAACACACTGAGTATAATAGTAATGGTGGGGCTTCCCTGGTGGCGCAGTGGTTGAGAATCTGCCTGCTAATGCAGGGGACACGGGTTCGAGCCCTGGTCTGGGAGGATCCCACATGCCGTGGAGCAACTAGGCCCGTGAGCCACAACTACTGAGCCTGCACGTCTGGAGCCCGTGCTCCGCAACAAGAGAGGCTGCGATAGTGAGAGGCCCGCGCACCGCGATGAAGAGTGGCCCCCGCTTGCCACAACTAGAGAAAGCCCTCGCACAGAAACAAAGACCCAACACAGCAAAAATAAATAAATAAATTAATAAACTCCTACCAACAACATCTTCTTTAAAAAAAAAAAAAAAAGTAATGGTGGAGGTCTCATTTCCTGCCCTGAGCCCGGCCCTTGGACCCGACAGCTACAAGTTGAGGGGGTCTTATATCCCTGGGTCTCCAGCCCAAGAGAGGTAGGTCTCCAGCCTCTAGCTCTGTACTCGCTGCAGGGCCACAGCGGCCTCTGGTGGATGGTGATGGGACACAGCAGCTGGACCTCTCACTCCACCTCCACTTTCTTCTCCCTGTGTGGTGGTTTCCAGATCCCCCTCCCGTGGGGCCCTGATCATGAACTTCCAAGCCACAGATTCGTGGGGGAGGGGGAGAGGAGGGAGGGCGAGGGGGAGGGGGAGGGGGAGGGTGGAATAATGAGTAATGAGCAGGACTGGCTGAGGGCAGTGGTCAGTGTTCCAAGGGCTCCTGCTGCTCTCCCAGCACAAGCCTCAGGGATTTCTAAACTGCAGACTGCCCAAGGGTATACAGAGAAATGAGAGATCGCTTCCCTGTCAACTACCGGATCCTTGGTTCCTTCCCCAGTGGCCACGGCTGTGACCTGCGTCTCCTTCCAGAGATACTTGGATACCCCCACCCACCCCCATTTCAAAAATGGACACAAATGGTTATCCTTCCTACTTTTTACATTAATGCATTGTGGAGACGAGCTACTTCAGTCTTTTGAACGGTTGTATGCTATTCCACTGCAGGGCTGAACAGCGTGATTTAAACAGTGCCCAAAGGACAGACATTTATTTTCATTTTTTTTGCAGTTACAAAAAAATGTGGCAGGAAATGCATCACTTTGCATTCATTTGCATGTACCTGTAGAAGAATTCTTAGAAGGAAAACTGATGAGGGAGAGGGTGTGTGCATTTTTAATATTAATGGATTCTAGAAGATTGCCATCTCGAGCAGCCATACTCTCCCCAGAACTGCCTTCGGGCTCACAGCCTTGGCTCTGCCTGTCTCTCTCCTAAATGGGAGCCTGGGGCACAGGTCACGAAGCCTCTGTGCCTCAGCGTCCCCACCCGTTGCATGGAGGTACCATCAGCACCCACTCTGCCAGCAGGGCGGTGTCAGGGGGTGCCAGGTGACTCCTCCGCGCTCTTGTGGTCCTTAATAGCTTGATTAGTGTCGTGGGGCCACATTTTAGGCATTTTTTTGAATAATGCAGTATGAAATGCTGGTAAAGTGTGACTTTACGCGCAGAATTTGACCTAGGGAGTTTCCTCAAATTACAGCCCTCCAAGAGGGACTTCCCTGGCGGTCCAGTGGTTAAGACTAGGTGCTTTCCACTGCAGGGGGCCCAGGTTCGATCCCTGGTTAGGGAACTGAGATCCCACATGCCGCGCAGTGCCGCCAGAAAACCGAAACAAACAAGCAAACCAAACCTCCAAGGGACTCAGCCAGAAGCTGGCGGCCGAGCCAACCACAAGCCGCACTCACGCCACAGCCACGAGAGAGCGCAAGTGAGGGGGAGGCTCCAGGGCCACCTGGCACCCGCAAATTGCTGCTTTGTCTGTTTCCTGTGGGACCGCGCTCTCCACCTCCTCTCCAGTGTCCACACGACCTGCCGTGGCACATCCCACCCTCTTGCTCCCACAGGACCTACCCGGCAGCTCTCCGGGGCACTGCCTCAGTTTCTCCGCACGGCCTCTGGCGACCCCTTTGCCGCGAGTCTCCTGGAGAGCTGACTGTGCTCTCTGATCCTCTGAGTCGCTGATTGTCTCTTGAACTAATCGGTGGCCCCATTGCTCCACTGAACCCAGGCTGCTCAGTCTGGCAGTCATTTTTCCATGTTGGTGGACCTTCACTTTCTGCTCCTGAAATCTGTCCTTCTGGCTTCCGTGACATCCTGTCTTGGTTTTTGTCCCATATTCTGGCCTCTCTCAACTTCCAAACTTCCATCCTGAACAAGACTCCAATGTCTAGTTGCGTGCACACCCCAAGCCTGTCAGTCCAGAGCTGAGCTACCTTCCCTCCGTGATGTCCCCGTCCAGTCTTCCTGTGGCTCAGACCACCCCATTCCTACTCAGCAGCAGGTCCTGCAGGTCTACCTTCACCCACGTCCCCCGACCCTAACCACCCCTGCCTGCACGTGGCCACCAGCTGGGAGGTCGCAGGACCCTTGGACCCCCCTTTCCTGCAGTCTGTTCTCGATGCAGCAGCGGCGGATCGTGAAGATGTTAGTCCCCCTGGGGTGCCCCCTGCTCACACCAGGCCTGGCCCCTTCCAAGGGCCGGCACCTCGCGCCCTCCCACTGTTGTGGGTACCTCGGGCAGCGCCCACCCTGCACCTCGGCACGCTCTCTCAATCACCTCCCTAAGGCCTTGTCTTAAGGCACGGTCCCCAATGGGATGCTGGCCGTCAGAAGGAATGAAGCCCTGACACATGCTATATATAAAATGGTGAACCTTGAAAACATGCCGAGGGAAAGAAGCCAGACACGGAAGGCCGCATGTATGGTTCTATGTATATGAAATGTCCGGAACAGGCAAATCCACAGAGACAGAAAGCGGATGAGTGGTTGCCAGGGGCTGAGGACGGAAAATGGGGAGTGACTGCTCATGGGGACAGGGTCGCCTTTAGGGTGGGCTCTACAACAGCCTCGACTGACCGAGACCCCCCCCGGCTGTGGGTTTGGGGTTGCCCAGCATCCTAACAGCTCCTGCTGGCAGGGATAGGGTGAAGAGCAGCTGGGAGGGCTCAGTGGAAAGGTCGCAGATGCAGGGGGAGGTCCTGATGGCTGTCCCCTGCCCGCCCTGAAGGTTTGCAAGGGCAGTGAGGGGAAGAAAAGAAGCGCCAACCGTGCAGAGAGCCAGGCTGCGGGAGGGCTCGCAGAACAGCACCAGAGAGACTCGAGCTGAGGGGCGTCGCGGGCACAGGGCTGCAAACATGGGAGCTACCTAAAATATCCAGCACTGGGGCTGAGGGGCTCCGGCCGCGGCAGTTCATTCCCTGGAGGAAGATCCTCCCGGACACAGAGGCAGTGGCCAGTGCAAGGTGCATCGGGTAGAGAGAAGCATGGGGTGCCAAGTGGGGGCTCGTCTGCAGGGACACACCCAGACCGCCGCGGGCCGTCTTGGCAGGTCACCCTGAGGCCTAGCGTGCAGTGGGTGCCGGTGGAGAAGGGGCCAGGGCCCGGACACGGTGGGCTGAGGTTGTATCACCCGCCTTAGATATCCATTTCTTGGTTCTTGAAAGCAACAGAAATGGAGACGTGGAGGGCAGTGTGGTGACAGGCCAGGTGAGAGCAGCCGGCTGCTGCCCAGAGGCCCGTGGGTGTGATGGGTTGGGATGGGCAGATGTGCGGGGGGGATGGAAGCCACAGGGGTGGGGGGCAGAGGTCCTTTGATCCCAGGAGACCACCGTGCTCAGTCTTTCGGGGTGCAGGCCGGGACCCCGCTGTGCTGCATGGCTGTGACACAGCCGACCCTCACTCCCGCACCTCGTTTCCTGTCTGCAACCCTCACTAGAGTGTCGGCGCCACGGTGGTGACACCCGCGGGGGTTGGAGACAGGACAGAGGGATCTCTCGGGCATGGGGCCCAAGAACCGGGAGAACGGTGACGCATCCAGCTGGCCAGGATCTGGGCGGAGCTGGTGTGGAGGTGCACGGGAGTCAGAACACTCTGTGTCCAGAGATGAAACACTCTGGACAGAAGCTCAGATGCTGGTCATGGTGGCAGCTGACAGTGCGGGGTTAGGGCCGCGGTGACACTGACTGACGGGCAGATACAGTGCACCTGCTCAGGGCCCCGAGCTGTCCTGAGCCCAGGTTCATTTAATTCTCCCAACAGCCCAGCTCTAGCATCTTCATTCCCGGTGAGGGGAAGAGAGGAGGAGACAGAGGGAAGGTCCCACCCGAAGGCTGAAGCAGAGGAGGAACTGGGCGAGGAGACAGAGAGGGGCATCCAGGAGCCGGGGGACTTGCAGCGCCAAGCCTTGGGCCAGCAGGATTTCAAGAGCACGGATGCAGGAAAGTGCCTGGGAAGTTTATCGTCTTTAACGACATTTCAGCTGAAAATGGTAGAACTTGTATTAACGGAAAAAGGTGCCAAACCAATTCCCAGTAAAATTCTGAGCTCACAACAGACTTAAATCAAAACCGCATGAAACGACACAGCAGAAGAGAGTGTGGAAGGCAGTGTCTGGGCGAGTTGGCACACGGATGGACAAATGAGCAAACAGAGTAACAACCCGCCCAACTGCGCAGCTGCAGCCCTGCACCTGCGCGGTCAGCCATCGGCAGGAACAAATCTGGGAGTGAACGACATCGAAATTAAAATCGGTCCAAAACTGTAATGGGAGAATTTGTGCCAAGTCCTGGAAGAAACAATTCAGCCTTAACCATAAAATTACTGTAAAAAACACCAAACGGAGTTGGCAGAACGAGCAGTGTCTCAGCCCATTTCAAACCCCAGCTGACAAGCAAAAGATGGTACCGGTGTCGCCTGCCGTCAGCTCAGGGAGCGCTGTCTGCTGTCAGTTCTGGGTTTTCTGAGGAAACATGAATTCCAGGGAACCAAGGCAGGTCGCACCGTCCTCTTTTCTGCTCATCCCAACACTTAATTAGATGCGTTTGAAGTGACCCTGCCGGGGTCTCCAATAGGTGAAGCGGTCGACATTCGCCTCACCTGCCAGCTGCCCCTGGCCTGAAAAGACAGAGACAGAGAGTCAGAGGGGGGCCGTGGGACAGATGACCCATCGGGCCCCCACATCCCTGAGGCGGCCTAGAACATGCCGAGAACCGTGAGAGGAGCCAGGAGATGGGGCAGGGACAGAGGGGTCAGTCCTGGGTCACAGCTGGCCTTGCACATGAGTGTGCCTCCTTGGCAGGAACTGGCCTCCACTGGCTGGGCTCTGGCAAAGGACTGGCAGGGCACCGCGGCACACACTCTGAGGGTGAGGGAGACCCAGGCAGGCCCGGAGCTGACGGTGGTCCCCCAAACATCGTGGTGAGACGTGGTAAGCAGGAAGAGGCTCAGGAACCCAGCAGGACGCGGGCCTGGCTGGGAGTCAGGAGGGCAGCGCCCATGGCTGCGGGCGTGTGGGCTCTGTCCGCAGGGCGGGGATATATCGGGCACATGTGACCCTGGGATGTTTGTCCACAGGAGCCCCCCACAATGGAAACCACTACTATTGGTAGTGGTTTGCAGCCCATGAGAGCAGGGCCTGCAACTCACAAGCTCCCCTTCACCTTCCTCATTCTTTTTTATTTTATTTTATTTTAATTGTATATTTATTTTATTTATTTGACTGTGTTGGGTCTTCGATGCTGTGCGTGGGCTTTCTCTAGTTGTCGCGAGCGGGGGCTGCTCTGTTGCGCCACGCGGGCTTCTCACTGCGGTGGCTTCTCTTGCTGTGGAGCATGGGCTCTAGGTGCGCAGGCTTCAGTAGCCATGTCTCGCAGGCTCAGTAGTTGTGGCGCACGGGCTCAGTAGTTGTGGCGCGTGGGCTCTAGAGCGCAGGCTCAGTAGTTGTGGCGCACGGGCTTAGCTGCTCCGTGGCATGTGGGATCTTCCCGGACCCGGGCTCGAACCCGTGTCCCCTGCCTCGGCAGATGGATTCTTAACCACTGTGTCACCAGGGAAGTCCCATTCACCTTCCTCATTCTTGAACTTTCCTTAACAGGCTGAACCCTCCTGCCTGCACCCTCTACCCCTTCCGACCCCACAAGGCCCAAGACCCTGCTCCTCACCCACCCATCCCGTTCCCCCCTCCCCCGCCTCAGCTATTACCTCCCATGTGCCCCAAGGATCTGCCACAGAGGACAGTGCTGGGCAAACAAATGGAGAGAATGCCTTCAAGGGCTGCCTCATCATGTGACACAGGGACACTGAGAGGCCAGCGTTGCTCCGCCCACCCTCAGTCTGAAAGCAACTGGGACAAGGATACTGGCCTCAGGGGGACACACTCTGCCCTTGGATGGACACCCATAGGCCTATGATCCCAGAAGGAGAACATGAGTGGGGAGGGGAGGGGTCCACTCGCAGGCCTGGGAGGTGACAGGCTGGGGCCCAGTGTGGGACTGGGAGCCAAAGGGCAGCTCAGGGCCAAGGAGATGGCTCGCAGCTGGGGTGACCTCAGCCCCTGAGACCTGCTCTCTGGAAGAGCATCTGTGCCTGTCCAGGGCAGGGGCCCACGGCACAGGTGGGTGTCCACACCACAACCCTAACCTTCCTGCTTACTATGTGGGGTTGACAGGACCCCATGTCACAGTCCACGGAACCCTCATCCCGATTCACTCTCACACGCTCACCCCTCCTGTGCTCGAGGTGCTGAGCCCTGGGCAAGGGCAGAGCCGGACAGGTCTGGCCACTTGCTGGCGTCAGAGCATTTACTCTGCTCAGGTGCTCATTATGGGCTGTGGGGTTGCCACAGTGATGGGATGCGCGCTGCCCGGCACCGGGAGGCATCCATTCCCTGAACCTTTAAGAGGGTCTGGGGGTAAACGGGGGGGGGTCAACCCCGAAGGAAACAGGTGGGCTGTGTAAGGCCCTGCCCACTCCTGCATGGCCTTGTCACACCTGCACCTGCGCAGCCTCTTCAGGACAACCCTGCGCGGGGGGTCAGGCCCCTGTGGCTGTCAGTGGGAGGCCGAGAGGCCCCAGGGACTGCGAGAGGGATGATGCCCTCTGATCCTGGCTGGCCTGGCACCTTGCCCCAAACGCTGAGAAAGTTCCTGAGGGCACATCCCGAGACAGCTGAGATCCATGGCTCATTTTCTTCCCAGATCTTCACTCTGGCCCAGCTCGCACCGGCCAAGGGGGCAGCCAGGATGGTGAGGCCATGGCATGAACGTGTTGAAGGGTCTGAGCCCAGTGGGGCTGTACCTTCAGACCATCAGGGCCTCGTCTGCCCACCCTTGCCTTCTCCTGATGGGTACAGACACCATCGGGGAGGGAGGGCTCCTTCCCAATAGGCAAAGCCCTCAGCAGTCATCGAGTCCTGTGAGGCGTGAAGGTCTTTGCCGAGTGGGGCGCCACAGAGCTGGGCTCCCTGAGGCGGCTCTGCCAGCCTGCATTCGTCCCCATGATGGACTGAGACACGGTCGAGATAGCCGGTTCCGAGGACCCGCCACCCACCTGGGCTCCACGTCAGCCCTATCACAGAGTCCGGGAGCCCACAGGTGTCCTTGGGATTGTGTTGGAGACTCACCTGGCCCAGAAGGCTGCCTTCCCCAGGGGCGGGCCGGAGGGAGGCCAGCGTCTGCAGGGTGATAAGTGTGTCACTGGTGCTGGTCATCGGAAAGGGACCAAAGGAACCTGGAAGGGCAGGAGGGGTCAGGACCAGTGGGACCTACCAGACCCCCGGCCAGGAAGAGGCTGCGGAGGTGACTCCTACGGCTCCCTGCCCCTCCAGCAGCCCTGCGTGGGTGGGGAAACCAGACTTTTGGTAGGAACTTTCTGTCCCCACAGCATCTGCCCAGCCTGCCGGGATGTGTTGACTTCACTGGGATAATCACTAACGGGAACAGAAACCTCACAGTGTAAATAGAGAAAAGAGGCATACGCAGGGACCAGTCTGCTTCCCCAGATGCAGCTCAGTGGGCCCGGCCACATGGGAGCGACTGACCCTGGGTTGGGCAGCCTTACTGACTGGAGCTGGGCCTCAAAGGGCAGCTGGCCTGGCTGCCCGGGCCCCTGACATTGGTGGTGTCCTCTGCCATCTTACCTGTGTAAGTGGTAGCCTCTTCTTGAAACTTCCCCATGTTCTTTTTATACCGGATTCTTTTGTTGCTGAACCAGTTTGAGACCTGTGGACAGGCAGAGATGGAAGTCACTGGAAAAAACTGACCTAGCGATGAGACGTGATGTGGACAGACAGCCGGGGGGAACATCACTGAGTGACAACGTGTGGCCCTGGGGCTGGGTGAGAGGCCGGGACTGAGAAGGTGGCGCTAATGAACTGTGGGCCCAGGGAAACGTCTGCAGTGTGTTGGTGACACCCTGGACCTGGCGTGGCTTATAGGAGAGGGGGGAGCTGGAAGGAAAACAGGCATGTGTGTGACACACTCAGAGAGACGAGTGTCTGCTCACTGCGGCGGCAGGCAACAGACTGAATACTGATGCGGGAGACGCATCAGTAACCACATTTCTGGGAATGCAATTTAAGCAAAGAACACAGTCGAATCCAAAACTTATCAAAGGATAAGGACCACTTGACAGTGCAGGGGAAGGAGCTGAGCACTGAGCTGAGGGCCTATTTTTAGTCCCCAAAGCCAGTTAGGAGGGAGCTGCAGTCACATGCATCCTGTAAGCAAGGGGCCAGCCCAGGGCCTAGAGGTCTGAGCCCAGCTCTGACTCCAAACCTGCACCGAGACCTCCAGGGCAGGGCTTCTCCCTGTGGGTCACTCTCTGGGGGGCGTCCTGGGCACTGAGGGTGCTGAGCAGCACCCCTGGCCTCCACCCACCAGGTGCCAGTAGTGTCCTCCCCTCCCCCCGAGAGTTGTGATAATGAAAATGTCCCCTGGGGGCAGAATTGTCTGGGTGAGACCCTGGGCAGTGCCTTCCTAAGAGCATGCAGACATATCCCAAAGTAAGGCACCAGGCCCCACAGTGAAAGGTTGTGTATTTTAATGAACAGAAATAAACAGTTGAGTTACGTGGCAGCGCTGTGGATGGAGGACTTTTCTCCTCTAAAAACCTTTTTCTTTTTTTTTTTTTTTTTTGCGGTACGCGGGCCTCTCACTGTGGTGGCCTCTCCCGTTGCGGAGCACAGGCTCCGGTCGCGCAGGCTCAGCGGCCATGGCTCACGGGCCCAGCCGCTCCGCGGCATGTGGGATCTTCCCGGACCGGGGCACGAACCCGTGTCCCCTGCATCGGCAGGCGGACTCTCACCCACTGCGCCACCAGGGAAGCCCAAAACCTGGACTAAGTTTGCAGAAGAATAGCAGTGAGCAGTTTTCCATGTTGAATTCAACTGGCATTTTAGAGGGACAAAGAGCAAACTTCCCGTGTGGGTGAGGGAGGGTGGCTGCTGGGGAGCTGGTCCGGGCCAGGGTCCACCCTCTCCACGGGGTGTGTCCCGACACCTCGTACAGGAGTGGGATGCCCTCTCCACCAGCTGTAGCTCGGAGCCATTGGCCACTCCCTGCCCAGCCACTCTGGTCCCTTTGGCTCACACAGCTGCAGCCGCCTGGGTTTCTGCCCATCTCCCTGTCCATGGGCTCAGCTCTCCCGCCCTTTCCCCCTCGGGCCTCCTCACCCTGGAGTTGCAGCTGTCCTGAAAACGTCTGTTGCCTCATCTGCAACACCCTTTGCCCTAATGGTGCTCTCCCTCCCCCGCTACTTCCTCCTTGGGCGAACCGCACAGCCTACACGACATCTGTATCCCAAATTCCGAGCCCTCCCTCAGCTGTCAGACATTCCCAGCTGGAGGACCTGCCCGAGTGGGGAGGGGCTCCCAGCACAGAATTCTGCTGCTGGTGGGCGGGGTCTCAGGGCCCGCCCACAGAGCAGGAGTCACTGGAATGTGGCCGGTGCTTTCCAAACTTTTGTTTGCAACGAACCCTCTCCTGAGATAAAGTTGAGACCCAAGACCCATGTGCTCTCTGGGGGTGCCAGGGCTTGAAGTGAATCTGGCCGTTTTCAGACAACTGCTCACGGTGACAAACAAGCTGCCATGGCTCCCACTTCTTCCGGGCCTCGAAGCCCCAGAGGTGCAGCCCTCACTTCAGCTCCAGCCAAGGTGCTGAGGACGCCGCAGCGGTTCCAGGCCGAGTGAGGTCTCCTGTGACCGGGACACCTGTGAGGCTTTGCTGCCTGTGTGACCCTGCGGGGTTCCTGAGTGCCCTTGTCCCCAAGTCGCTGCTGGACTGGACAGGGACCAGAGCAGAGGGTGGTGACGGAGGGCACAGGCTGACTGGGCTGGAAGCTCAGCCCCTCCAACTGCACAGTGGGAGCAGCCCTCCCTGCAGCCGGGGGCGGGGTGCCGTGCCCTGACCCCCACGCTGCCCCACGGGCGTGGCCTGGTCCTGCCTCTTGCTTGTGGGCTGCCTGCACTTACCGTTCTCGCTTTAAAGCCTTCGGAAATATTTCTTGGGTTCTCATCTTAGCCCCGCCACCTTACCCCAATTCCAGTGAGGACAGTGGTGGTCCCGACTACCAAGGTTGCCCAAGGCTGCCCAGGTCCCTTCTCTGACCTGCACCACCATTCCCCCTCTGGAGCCAGATGTCGTCTGTCTTGTACCCCCAGACACACACACTGGACTGTTTGAGAAACAAGAAGGCAAGGCGCGCGCCTGAATTTATCCCAGGATAACTGAATCGGTACTTAAGCACAAGAGCTGGTCTAGCACTTCAAGTCCTAATTTTCCTCCAAGTTCTTCTTCTTCTCCCAAGCTCATACCCCACCCCTCTTACGCAACACAGCACATCCCTCTGTTAGGAGAATATGAAATCTCAACGACTACAATCCACGGAGTACCTCATGATACACTCTGTGGTGTCGCCTCCGGGACCGCACACCCCACACCAGTCGCCTCAGCGAGTCCCCACACCTGGTGGGTGTGGCTTCCCGCCTGAGGCCCACGTTCATAGCCCAGACCCCGGGACCTGAGCCCAGTCAGGCCGACTGGGAGCCTGCCTACCCGGCTCCCGCCCCACACATTTCACCAGCTTCCCTGGGTGGCCTCCTCACTGGGCTGAACTTTCCCTCCCTTCTGGGTTCAGGGAGGTGTGGCAGGGAAGGACTGTCACCTGGGAGACGGCGATGCCACCCTTCCTGGCCAGCTCTTCTTTGGTTTCTTCACTGGGGTAAGGGTTGCTCACATGGGAATAAAAATATTCATTCAGCACTTGCGTGGCTTGCTTGCCGAAGTTCTGCCGCTTACGCCTGTGAAGACAGACGGCCTCAGCCAGGGATCGTACGTGGGGCCTCGTCCTCGTCTCTGATTCCCTAGAGGTTGTAACAGCAGCAGCCAGCACTTCAGTCGCCTTCCAAGAGGCTGTGTGAGGGCTACGCCTGCAGCTGTGGCCACAGCCCCTGCACAGGCCTGGAGGCCCCCAGAACTTAGACCCAAGCCAGCACTGCCTTAGGTTCCTCTTCCTGAGAGCTGACCCTGGGGTCACAGGCCGGGGGTAGGTAGGGCCTGACCTGGCGTCGAGGACCCTCGAGCGCAGGGTCATCACGGCCTCGCAGGTGCTCTCCTTCAGCTGCATCGGGACGCTGTTGAACTTGCCGTGGAGGATGCCCACCACGTGCTCGATCTCCTTGGGCGAGACAGGCCTTATCCTGCTCTGCTCCCGGAGAAGGCTGGTGACATGCGTGGTGAACTCACGGCAGGCCTGGGGTGGGGAGACAAATGCCAGCCGGTGACTACCCGGCAGGCTGTCCCGGGGGCTCCATGTGGGACCAGCCACCTGCCCCCCGAGGCCCCCACACAGGCTGGCTACTGAGAAGTGAAGGCAAAAGGCTTCGGGTAAAATCGGCCACCTTTGCTGTGAGACCAAGTGTGTGGACGCCCTGCTCTGGGCCACCAAAGGCAGGCAGTTAGCGCTCCACGTTTCGCTTTGACAAATGCGCATTCACATGACAGAAACTCTCCCATGCAGAAAGATCACCTGTTCATGTTTCTCTAGCTCAGAGGGGGTAAATCTGTCGGGTCTGGGACAGCTTGGCCCTGGAGTCAGAGTGCTCAGGGCCACTGTCATTTGGACAGCCACCTGGGGTTGCTGTGCCGGCCGCCGCCTGGGCTCCTCTTCGGTGCTTCTCCGGCCTGCACATGCCCTCGGCCAGCAGCATGTTATCCAGCTTTTGGAGCTGAGCGTCGGGGGGACCCTCTGCCAGAATGCCACGAATGTTCAACCCTGGGTAAGAGAGGAGACACGGAATCAGTGTCTGTTGTCGGAATGAAAACAACCACGACAGAGTGTTAGCACTGGCTTCGTGTCTGAACACTTTTCACGGAACCCTTGAGGGGAAAGAAAGACTTCATCTGATAACAGACACTGAGTAACCCCCGTGACGCTGGTCCAGGTGCCGTGCTTAGGAGCCCAGTCCGGGTGGCGGGAATGCAGGGGGCACACCGACCACAGCTCACAGCCCACAGTTGGGTGTGTGTGGGGGCCCGCAGGGCAGGGGCGGGGTGGCACTGGGTGCTGGAAAGCCTGAAGCCCTGAACCTTGTCTTCAGATGGGAGAGGAAGCACGTTCCAGACACACACACTAGCACAGGCAGGGATACGAAGGCTAGTGGCCGCCTGGCTTCAGGCAAGGCCGTGCTGCTGTGCGTCTGAAACTAAGCCCCCCAAAACCAAGTTCCCTTACTGAGTTTGACTAGTTTCTCTATCTAAAACTTTATTCCCTTTCTTGTCCCCTTTGACCTCAGTCCTGTGCTAACTGAACACTAATCAGTCAGATGACTAAAATTGCTGTTGTTGATAACATCGTTAACGTGCTAAAATTGCTATTACAGATATCGTCATTAATGTACAAACTCAGGTTATGTCTCCAGGGCAAGATGAGCTAACAGACTCCTAAGCCATGGACCCACCTGGTCAGCGAATCATAAACCAGAGACATCCTGATTTCCGAAACTACGATTACGAAATGTCACAAGATGATGATTAATTCCAGCCTCTCTGTTCTTCCCCTTAAAAAAAAACAAACCAAAAAGCCCTCACTCAAAGACCAAGGTGGAGTAGATCTGAGGCTTGTCTCCCACTCCCTTGCTTGGCACCCTGCAATAAACACTGTACTTTCCTTCACCACCACCCGGTGTCAGGAGAGTGACTTTGCTTTTCAGAAGACTGAACTTTGGTTTGGTAACACATCTATTATGTCTGTTTGTGTTTCCTGTGTGTGTGTTGGGGGGAGGGTTGTTGCTATAAAGTAAAGAGGAAAAGACTGATCCAGAGGTGCCAGAGAAGATGAACTAACCCACCGAGAGACCTTTTTTAAAAAATACATTTATTTATTTATTTATTTATGGCTGCATTGGGTCTTCATTGCTGTGCGTGGCTTTCTCTAGTTGCGGTCAGTGGGGGCTACTCTTTGTTGCAGTGTGCGGTCTTCTCATTGCGGTGGCTTCTCTTGTTGCGGAGCATGGGCTCTAGGCGTGCGGGCTTCAGTAGTTGTGGCTCGCAGGCTCTAGAGTGCAGGCTCAGTAGTCGTGGCGCACGGGCTTAGTTGCTCTGTGGCCTGTGGGATCTTCCTGGACCAGGGCTCGAACCCCTGTCCACCGCATTGGCAGGCGTATTCTTAACACTGTGACACCAGGGAAGTCCCCCACGGCGAGACTTTAAGCGGAGAAACAAGATGATTGGCTTTACAACATGGAGAAGCCACCGCAGCTGGACTGAGAGGGTGACGTGCTCGAGGGCAGGACTGGACGGGCAGTGGACGGGCAGGGGAGGCAGTGGGGGGGAGCTGTTGCTGTCCGAGGGGATGCAGGTCAGCTACAGGGCGGCCAGAGGGCGAGGCCCCAGAGTCTGTGACCACCAGATGCAGGCATGAGAGAAAGGAAGAGGCTGTGACCACTCCCACATTTGCCCTGGAAGGTGCCATTTTTTCCCAAGTACAGCACACAAAGCAGCAGGCAGGCACGAGAAAAAATGGCATCAGCCTGGTCCCTGACCCAGCTAAGCACGAGCGTCCAGGTGGCTGCGAGGCAGCTGCTTCCTGGGAGCTGGGGCTGAGCTAACCAGTTTGGGTGGGAAACAGGTATTCATGAGTCATCGGCGTGTGGTGTGTGGGAAATCCGTACATATCCACCTGTACCTGCAGCTACACCTATGAGAAGGCCATGCCCCTGAATACTAGAAAACCAGCATTTCAAGAACAAAGGAGGAGACGGAAAGAGTTATCGGGTAGGTGGAGGAAAACCCAGAAGTAGTCACAGAGGGGTGAAAACATGGGCTTGGTCATTAGGGGAACGCTGTTAACCTCTGAAAAAGCAGGGTAAGGTGGGGTACAGCCTGACTAGCAAGTTCCGGAGGAGCATGGGAGACTGGCAGTACAGGGAAGAGCCTGCTGCAGGGGTTACAGAGCGAGCTCGGGTCTGAGGAGGGTGGTCTTGCAGGACCTGTGTCTTCTTTGCTTTTTCAGTGACAGAAGAAACATCTGCGGCTACAGAGGAAAAAAGATTGGGGGGTGGTTCCTGATGGAAGGCAGGGAACGGAGAAGGAGGTAATGATATAGGATATCCATCTAGCTCTGACTTTCTGGAAAAACAAAGTTTAAAGTGTTTTCTTGGAAACAGGCTCTCAATACTATCAGCTACTAACTGACTCAAATGCTCAAATAAAAATTGAGTTTAGGGAATTCCCTGGTGGTCCAGTGGTTAGGGCTCAGCGCTTTCACTGCTGTGGCCCGGGTTCAATCCCTGGTCGGGGAACTAAGATCCTGCAAGCTACGTGGTGCAGCCAAAAAAAAAAAAATTGAGTTTAATCCTATCATATGGATATTTACTCATTAATCACGTGCCCCTTTCTTGTTCCCTATGTAACAGGTTAACCTTTTCTGTCAAAAACTCCCCAGTGAAAATTGAAGGCGCTCAAGAGATATCCTTGCAGGAATTTTCTTCACGTGCAGGGAGCTTTACCTCCTTACGTGTGGGGACCCTCAACTCACCCAAAGGAACCCCTGCCACTTAACTCAGTCCCACTGGGTTATCATGTGGCTTTTTCTGAAAGAAGTAAAGGAGAAGTGCCCCTTTTATCAGTTGCTGGCCTTCCAGTTCAGAGACCCAATTCTCTAGCAACCTTACTTGCTCTTCAAGAAGCACCAGATGTAAACGCTGGGCACCCCTGGACAGAGCTGACCTGCGCGGCCTGATCCCTGTAAAGGCCCACACCCTCCTAACCACTCCTAACCCAGAGCGGATAATGGACGTCCTCCTCCCTCAGGCCCTCTGTTTGCAAATCCTATTGATTCAAACTCCATGATCAACCCACCATCCATCCCCTCCCTTAATGCCACTGCTGGAACCCTGCTGCGCTGACCCCTCTCCTGCCCTCCATGACCTGTGAGGAAACCCCTCCCCTCCGATCCACTGTGCACACCGGCAAGCCAACTACCTTCAAACACTGTGCTCATCACGCCAGTCTTTTGTTCAAAGACTTCAACCAGGGCCTGCATCCACCTAAACTAAAGCCTAGACTCTGACACCTCGTACTCAGGGTCTTTCGTGACGGCCTTCCAAACCCACCTTCATGAACTTTCCCTCTGCTGGGCCCTTCATGGCCCTTTGCAGCACAGCAGATGCTCTGCGACCGTCTCAGGCTTACTCAGCAGCTCGTCCCTGAGCACCCGTGGTTGTGGCTGGGGCTCAAGAGTGACTCGAGAGGGACACACAGCACCCCGTCCCGCCCCAGAGGGCCCCCAGCACACCCTGACTCCCAGGCTGGAGAGGCCACCTCCACAGCTTCCATCACAGCTTCCGTCATTACAATTAGGGGCAGCAGTGGTCCAGGTTGGACATGCGGTGGTGGGGGCATGTGCACACCCGTGTGTGTTCATGCGTGTGTGACTCCGGGCTGCTCAGGGGTGCGTGGCAGTCTTTCATTCTTTTTCCTTGGCCGTGACACATGCCTTGTGGGATCTCAGCTCCCCGACCAGGGATTGAACCCGGGTCACAGCAGTGAAAGCACCGAATCCTAACCACTAGACCACTAGGGAACCCCTTTCGTTCTTTTATTTATCCAACAGTAAGCATCTGAGAGTCTATCACAAGCCAGGTACCCAACCAGGTGCTGGAGATTTTAAAAAATACACCAAAAAACCACGGGACTTACTGTCCTCAAATGAAAGCTCTCAAATTACAAAGAGAACACCATTTTCTCATATCTCTTTACGGGGTATGTGTTGGTGTGGCCTTTTTTGGAGGGGAGGTTTGAAATGCCGATTAACACAGAAAAAGCACATATCCTTTGATCTCGATCAGAACTCTGTTCTGCAAACTTACCCTACAGGAACACTGACCCCTGCAGATGCTGTATTTACAGGACACTCATGACCACCCCGTAACTGTGAAAAACCAAAACCGCCCAAATGCCCATGAATAAGGAGACAATATGCCTGTCATAACACCCAGGCCCTGTGGTGTTAACAGTGCGTACGTTATGACCATCATTCATGAGCTACAAGCTTTGCTTCTTTAAAGCTGTATATTTTTGCGAATGTATGTGTATGAGGAGAAGCAAAACTTAAAAAAAGTTACCCTGTGCCTTAGTCACCAGGACCGGTCCCAGCTGTGGACACGGCCATGCCGAGCGCCTTTGCCTTCTGTCAGTGAACGGCCCCTTGCATGCGGCCCTGCCTCTCCCTCAGCACCGCGCATGTGTCTCCCAGCACACTGTCCCTGCCTGATTATGGTCATTAGACACTCGTTACCGTTAATTACAACAAGCTCATTTTTGGTCCCAGGGGTGCTCCTCAGCTCCCCCAGAGCCCTCGACTGGCAGGCGGGAGGCTTTGGAGACCAGGAGCTCAGCTCAGGGACACTGTCAGTTGGAGACACTCAGATGAGGTGGTGGGATCTAAAACAGAGGCACTTCCACCCAACCACCAAATTTCCTTATGTTCCCAATTTACTGTGGGTAAAAAACTCCAGTAAACCAAACAAGGAAGTAAAATAAAATTATGAATAGCAACACATTATGTTTTTTCTAAGAAACAATATGGAACTGCTATGGACTGAATTGTGTCCCCCCAAATTCACATGTGGAACCCCCAATGTCTATGTGGAATAGGGCCTGTGAGGATGCAATTAAAGTCCAATGAGGGGCTTCCCTGGTGGCGCAGTGGTTAAGAATCCGCCTGCCAATGCAGGGGACACGGGCTCGATCCCAGGCCTGGTAAGATCCCAC